CCGAGAACTACCGGTGCCCTTGAGAACAGTGTAGAGATTGTTACACAACTGTGGGTCACCCACACAGGGCTGAGCAGCCCTCACACCCCAGCTGCTTGGGCAGGAGGTGAAAATGCCCCTTGGCTGTGAAGACCACAAAGAACCTCGCTGCTTTTCAGTACAACTCGCGTGCAGCCCAGCCCTGGGGAGCTGATCTCAGGTCCACTCTGCTCCTACCTAAAGAGAGATACCAGAGGCAACCAGCCACTGCCTTTAAAGAGCATTCAGAGGATTGTTGCAATCAAGCTTTGAGCCTTACTCATGCAAGCCAGTCTTTTGAATCAGGGTTCTATCCAGGGTATAGAACCTGGATTTTCCAAATCTGGCAAGGTTCAGAAAATATGGGAAAAAAAAAAAAATTGTCACTGAGACTACTTTCAGGGGCAGGATTTGCTTGTAGTCAACATAATCATTCAACAAAAAGCCAGCTGACAAATCCACTCAAGCTCAGTCTCCTAAATCATCTCTAAAGCAAACACTTATTAAAATACGTTGCTTATTAAGGCAATGATACAGTGGGGGCAGGCAGACTAAACTGCATGCCAAGAAAAGGATGAGCACTTGATGTAGACTAGACAAATAGTGGTTTTTACCAACATAGCTAGTAAAATGTTGGTGCTCTGCCTAATAAGGGCAGGACCCAAAGCAAACAGAATACTGGATAAAAATTACTCCAAATCCTCCGTATCAGGCACATACACAACATACCAGAGATGTCAAAAGGAATTCAGAGATAGCAGCAGCCAGGTTACAGAAACCAGAACAGATTGTATACAAGTTAAAAGGACTATAAGCTAATAATTTAAAAAACCTTAGTTAGCTGGTATTTTTTGTGTGAATTCTATTGCTGACCTACAGTGAAAATAAAGACTTTAAATAATTTCTTCAGCAAGTTTGGTTTTAAGCAGAGCAGAAGGACACAAAATACTCTGAGTGCACGTTTGAGCCTCAGTATCACATACTTTGGTGTATGTTACACACAAGAGATGTGGAGGTGCTCTTTACCTCACAACTGATTACAATCTTCTGCAGAATAAAAGCCTCGGAGTTCTCACATACAAACAACAGCACTGAAAATCAGCAGACAAGGCCCTCGTTGTTAGCTTCAACACCCCACCTTCCTCCAAAAGCTTCAAATAAAGGAATTATCCGGGAACATTCCTGCTCTAAAAAACCCTGCAATTACCCTAACATTAATTAATGAGGCAGAAGGGATGATTCGTGCCTGATTACAAACAAAGCCCAGCCCACGGGAGGAACTCCCATCACGTCAGAGGCAGCGCAGCTTAATCGTGACATCAGTGCAGGACTTCGTCCTGTCTCAGATCCGAGCCCCGCAGGAACTGTCCATGCATGGCAGCCAGCGAAATTCTTTGGCTTTCAAGGATTACATACTTTAAACATAACTCAGTAACAAAAGTTTTAAAAAGCCAACAACCTCACCCTCAGGTTGGAATAAATGTTGACTCTTACCATAGCAAGCAAAGGGCCAGATTTTCAAATGCATGATTTTTATTTTTTCCATGTTATTTTATACATATTTGGTGCAAATACCAAAAGGCTCATAACCCACTCGTATTTCCTAACACAGTTTGCTCAATACTATTAGAAAGAAGGAAAAAGACAAGTCCAACTGTGCAATTCCATTATTTGAATCTCTGAAATGTCTGCATTTTCTACCAGATGCTGCCCTCCATCCCATGAAACAGGCCTGCCCTTGAGGTTCTAGAGGAGCTGGGACACTGGAGGAGTAACTTAAGCAGAGAAGGCTCCTTGCCACCTGAGCCCTTTACAAGCCCGTGCTGCTCCCCTGTAACTCCCCAGGAGAAGGCAGGAGAGCCATGGCAGCACACCAGGAAGGCACCCGGGATGCCCACTCAACACTCATTTATGGCTCACATTTTTAAGCCCTCTGAAACACAGCACAGAGCTGCTCTATGCAAGTCTCCATCACTGACAGAACATGAGCGGCACTGACCTTCTCTGGCTCACCAGTCATTAAGATTTTACTCAGAAAAAATATTATTCCAAGTAATGAGAAAGGGGGGAAACATGAATTTTAATATATAGAGATCTAGAAGCTTATTTTGGGGTTCCCATACCATCAGTAGGAACTCTAGTCTGGGGTATAAAGTTTTATTTTCCATGACAAGAAAATGGGCTGACTGGAATTCAAGTACCATGGGGAATAGCCAGGGCAAGCTCAGAGCAGTTACCCAAGCTGAATAAACTAAACTAACAAAAGGATTGTGCTCCTGTAACTGCAACCACAGTTGGGCTGTGCTGGCCCAGCCTTGTCAGCTGAGGCACAATTATTGATTTGGAATATCTAAATAAAGAGCTGTACATCACGGAGAGCCTTCAAAGCCCAGGCCACTCCACAGGAATGGTCCCTCCACCTCCCACACAGGCATTTCTTCTTTCTCTTCAGAATTGCTCATTTTCATAGAAGGAAGATGACTCCTCTGCGATATTAATTGAGGTGCTGTTAAATAATGCATTAGCAACAAGTAGTTCTAGGAATGTCTTGAATCCTTCTCCATAATATGCACTTGAGGGACAATCCTTGTTCATTAGGGCTACACTTCTCTGTACAAACACCAGAACACACCACATGGCTGATTCCCTCGATGTATTTTAAATCAAGGAAAACACACAGCAGGGAAAACAGTAAACCTGGAGTTCTGGGCTGAGGAAACAAGTGATTTGGGGTTTGTAAGCACATCATACTGATTCTTTTCAACCTTAAAAGAGCATAAATAAGACTTCATCATCACAGTACTAACTTAACTGGTATTTGAAATAACAGCTACCAGATATTCCTGTGCTTGCTGGTTAAAACCACAAGAAAAATGAACACTTTAAAGGAAATCATCCTCATTCAAGTAGAGACCAACCTCACACTCTCCAGAAGTTCCAGCACTATGATGCGTTATCCTAAAACATGCACACAGCTCAAGTCCCGACTGCTTCACCTGCACTGCTGCTGTAAGACCTCACTAGCAGGAAAGGAGGGGACAGAACACTTCAAAAAACAGCCCGAGAGATCCATGTGTCCACCAGTGGAAAACACATTCCCACGTGGATGCACTTACAATCTGCCTAGGCAATGGAAAAGGTGTTTCAACTCAACATTTATTTAACTAACGGTGACACTCCACCTCATACTATACATCCAGCAGTTTTACAACTGGAAATTATTACAGATATAAAGCAGAACAAAAAAAAAAAAAATCTAATTTCTCTCAGAATATCTAAGTTTTGTCAGAAAAACTTTGCCTAACCAGCAAATAAAAATTAAAAATAGAAGAGACGTGGATACATGCATGGGAGAATTTACAGAGCTGGGCAAAGCTGTGAGCACCTGACAGAGACAGGTACACACTCCTGCAACACTGCCAGGGTAAAAGTCTCTCGGGGCCTCTAAGAGAAGGCAAACTCCACTTTCGGATAAGCCAGCCAGGGCTCACCTCTAGCTCTACTGTGAGCCTACGCTGTACCGCACAACAAGCTACAGAAAGACACAATCATTAGGGGAAAAAAGGTAACTACAGAAACAGTCACTAACAAACGCACTCACTGCAATTCGGACAAAGAGAAGGTCTCGAATTATCACAGAACTTTCAGGGTTGGAAGGGACCGCTGGAGATCATGTAGCCCACTCCCCAAGAATGTTTCTAAAAACCTCTTTTGGCCCAGCGATCCCACACTTTCCCTAGAGCCCATATTTGTCTGTACGTCTTTTATTATGTCCAGAAACGCAGGGACCAACTCCACTTACCTGTTGTTTTTTTTTATTTTTAAGCTACTTCAAAACCATTAACATTTTGTGCCCGCAGACAGCGCACCCAGCCAGCGACCCCAGCGCTGGGCAGCGGGGCCGGGGGGAGGCAGCGCTGGGGCCGGGGGGAGGCAGCGCCGGGCCCGCCCGAGCCCGGGGCCTGCGGAGCGCTCCGGCCCGGCGGGGCCGAGCCCGGCGGCCCCTCGGGCAGGTGAGTCAGCAGCCGTCCCCATCCCCGTCCCCATAGCAGCGACACCGCGGCCCCGCAGGGCCGGCCCGCTCCTTCCCCGCGCCCGCGGCCCTCAGCGGCGGCAGCTCCCACCTTGCTCTTCACCTCCATGGTGCCCAGGCCGCGGCTGCCCGCGGCGCCGCGCGGAGCCCGGCTCATGCCGCGCGCGGTCGCTGCTCTGGCTCCTCTGTCCGCCGGAGCGCTGCGGGACGGCGGCGGCGGCGCGGCCCAGCCAAAGCCCCGGCACCCGCGGCCGCTCCGCCGCCTCCGCCCTCAGCGCGGCCGGGCCGGGGCGGGGCCGCGCGGCTCCGGCACCTGCCGGGCACCGGGGCGGGGCCGCGCCGCGCCTGCGCCGCCTCCGCGGGGCCGCGGCGGGCGGGGCGCGCACCTGCCCCGCAGCGCAAGATGGAGGCGGCGGGGCGGGGGCTGTGCGGGGCTGTGCTGCTGCCCCCGCAGCGGGTGCAGGGCCGTGAGGGGCTGTGCTGCTGCCCCCGCAGCGGGTGCGGGAGCCGTGCGGGGCTCTGCGGCTGCCCCCGCAGCGGGTGCGGGAGCCGTGAGGGGCTCTGCTGCTCTCCCCTCAGCGGGTGCGGGAGCCGTGAGGGGCTCTGCTGCTGCCCCCGCAGCGGGTGCGGGGCCGTGAGGGGCCGTGCTGCTGCCCCCGCAGCGGTGCGGGCCGTGCCGCCGGTCCTGTCCCCGCAGCGGCCGCGGCCGTGCACACACGGGGCTGGAGCGCGGCTCGGCTCCCGCTGCTTCCTCAGGCACCTCCCGCCCCGGGGAGCCGCCATCCCGCGGCTCCGCATCCTCCCGCGGCCCTCAGGAGCCTCCATGGCGAGCTCCGGTCCTCCACAGGCCTGAGGAGCCAACCTAACCCTAACCCACAGCCCCAGGAGCCTCCATGGCGAGCTCCGGGTCTTCCAGAACCATGAGGAACCAACCCTAACCATGGTGAGCTCTGGGTCTTCCACAGCCATGAGGAACCAACCCTAACCATGGCGAGCTCCAGGTCTTCCACAACCATGAGGAACCAGCCCTAACCATGGTGAGCTCCAGGTCTTCCAGAACCATGAGGAACCAGCCCTAACCATGGTGAGCTCCAGGTCTTCCAGAACCATGAGGAACCAACCCTAACCATGGTGAGCTCCAGGTCTTCCACAACCATGAGGAACCAACCCTAGCTATGGTGAGCTCTGGGTCCTCCACAACCATGAGGAACCAACCCTAACCATGGTGAGCTCCGGGTCCTCCACAGCCCTGAGGAACCAACCCTAACCATGGTGAGCTCCAGGTCCTCCACAGCCCTGAGGAACCAACCCTAACCATGGTGAGCTCCGGGTTCTCCGCAGCCCTGCAGACCCCAACCCTCAGCCCCGGGAGCCTCGTGCCACGCTGCCGCTCCCCCGCAGCCCCGTGCAGCCGCCATCCCGCGGCCCGGTGCCCCTCACAGCCCCGGAGCCCCCGGGTCAGGCTGCCCTGATGGCTCCGAGCCCTCAGACATCGAGCTGGGGGATGGACCGGACGATCTCCAGGGAAAGATCGCTTCCAGCCCCAGCGATTCTGTGATTCAGGGGTCCTGGGATCCCCACCGGTGTGACACACAAACCCACCAGTGTTAGCTGATGTTTGCACGTTACATAAATAAGCCTTGGTCAGGCCAAAAGTGTGAAGTCTCCCTCTCAGGATGTGGCGTTATGTCCATCCTGAACGTAAAGCTGTTCATGGAGCTTGTTTTGATTTTAGTCACAAATAAGATTGCAGGATCTGGTCATGTCAGAGCTAACCTTCCTTATTGTATTAATTCTGAGACGATAAATTTCATTTAAAGGCCAATTAAGCTACCCTGACAAAAGTACAAGGTTTTCAAAAAGATTGTAAACTGTCTGAAAATAAATTACTTCTCACGTGTATGGACAAGAAGAAAGCATGTACATTAATCTCATAATGTCAACAGACCTTTGAATTACAGGTCTCTCCATTATCTATGAACCTGGTGGAAGAGAACGCTGTGTGAGGTTTCATCATGTGTGGATGCCAGTGCTGGGAGCTCAAACAATGCCTTGCACCTGAGGCACGCCATGGGTGTCTAGTCCTCTAGTCTCAGTTGGTAATCAGTAATTAAATAAAAAGCATCCAGTGCTGAATCACTTCTAAGTCGGTGCTGATTTTTGTACAGTTGATCTTCCTCCCATCACGCCAAAGGCAAAGGAATTGCAGCTCTCACTCGAGCCAAGACAAGCTGTAATTAGCACAGAGGATATTGTTAATAGTTAAATATAGTTTGCTGCCAGACGGTGTCTAGGCTGATTCAAGTCTTCTCATCCTTTATCCAGCATGTTTTGGTTTTACACTGCAGAAGGACACAGAGAGAATTCAGCCTGTAAATTCAGATAGAATCTGTCATCCTGGTGCAGTAGAAGGCAGATTACAGCTCTGAGAGCAAGACCAGGATAAAACCTCTTATGCTGTCACTTTGTAATTATAACATTGAAAAGAGTTTGGACTGCTTTCCATATCTGTCTTCTATAGCTCTGTTTAATGAGCTGAGCTCAGAGAAGAGTGCAAGAGACAAGGGAACAGTGAGTTCTCTGGGGCTTTAAAGCTGTTGGGTTGGCTCTTCCCTCCTGGAGAAAGGGAGGGAAAACCTCCTGAAGCTGATTTCTGCTTGGAGCTGTTGTGCAGTTAATTTTACTGCTATAGATTTATGAGGTATCGCCTAAGATAATTTGTTTTCTATTGTGCATTCCTAGCATGGCTGGAGTGCCAGGCAGTGGGTGTGGGAGCGAGCCTGAGGAGTCAGGGCAAATTCATTTCAAGTCACTGGAACCAACCTAATAAAATGTATTAATCACTGGCTGGCTTTCATCACAAGGAGCTGACGTATGAGGAAGGAATGTGATAAACAATTTGATCTCAGATAAAGGTGGGGAGTGAGGCAGGCTCTTTGTAAGGTAAGCTTATAGAGCTATTTTAGTCACAAGTTCTGTACAACCTGTGATTCAGACCTGGTCAAGCTATTCATGGCACGTTCAGTTTCTGTGAGTTGAAAGACAGGTTGGGTTTCCTGATCTCTGAGCTGCTGGGGAAGCTTTTTTGGGAGGCCTCTTTTTCCCCTTTGTTTGTTTTGGTGTAGAAATTCCATCACTTAGGTCCACCATGCAGTATAGTGAGATTGTGCCAAGATGTTGCTTTCCTATCCCAAATTTCCCAGATTTTAAGTGGAATTGTATTCCATGCAGCCCTCCTGGGAATTCACAGAGTATTTCCAAGAATAAGAATAAGGCACAGAAAATTGCTGTCAGCATAGGTTGGCTGTTATTGATGATCCACCTAATCTTTTATTGCATAGTTCAGGGCTTATGCTGATTTCATATTTAACATAAAGTAGTCTTTATTTACACTGTCAGTGCCAGCTCAGAGGAGTGATTGTTAGATGCACTAGATTGTAATCTGAGCTTGTCTTGGAGTTAATGACAGACTGGAGAGTTTTTTGATGGGTAGAGAAAACTAAAAGGGAAAAAGAGAAGCTTTATTTTCAAAATGATAATAAAGTTCTGCTTTCTTTCAAGAATAAATCCTGTACTTAAAGGCTTTCTTTTTGATACCTTCTGCAATTTTGATACATTAATCTTGTGTCCCAGTTGCATTTCCCTACAAAGAAGCATTTTCAACAGTAGTGTTGCACTTGGATACTCCATTTTCACAATATTAGGGACCAGCGTGACCTCAAATTGCTTTTGGCCTCTCCGATAAGTGAGTGGTGGAGACAAGCCAGTGCTGTCATGGAGGCATCTGACGTTCACAAATGCAAAATTATTGTAGAGCAGTACTTCTGGGTCCCTGTGAATGCAGGGAAATCCACTGAATGCCTCTCTGCTGGTAGCGCTGGTCCCGAGGCAGAACGTGAGTCCACAAGTGCTGCATCAGAGAGGAAGAATTGGAGAAGGGGACTTGTTACCCTGATCTCCATGGAACACACTCCACACCAACAGCTCTACACAAACACAGCAGCAACTCAGCACGAAAACCCCAGGGCACGGCAACCTAGCTGCTTCATCAATAACAGCAGTGTTTGAGTAGCACTTGTGTAATAAAAATGTTATCTCTCACCCTGAAATTGTGGCGCTTATAGGATTTTAATTTGGGGATGGGTTTTTTGTTTATCTGTTTGTTTGAGTTTTCAAAATTTTATTTTACTGAAGCGGGGAAACAATAATTGGGTTAGTAATGAGTTTTTGTGTTCTGTTTCTGCCTTTGCTTTCTTCTTTCCTGTCAGGAAAACTAGCACCATTTTTTCCTTCCCCACTCTTCCTCCAGGAACCTTTAGTTGTTACTTTGATGCAATATTTACTTACCTGTCTGTGACAAAATGAATTGATTGTTTTTCAAGTTCATATATAAGATCTTATCCGATAAAATATTTATAGTTTCCTGGGGCTGGGGATTTTTCTTTCAGTTTGTACTTTTATTTTGTCTCCTTTTATGGGAAAGGTTGTCTTCATACCATGCTGCCTGTGAAAGAAACATTTGTTTCAGGTGAGTTATAAATCCAGTTATAAACTAGGACCAGTGATAAAGTCCTGAAGTTTTCTGAAAACCCTTTCCTAGCAAGTCAAAAGCTGATATTGATACATTTGTTTAAATTCTCTGAGGTTTCTAACTAATATAATGAGAAGCTTTTAAAGCTCTTTCTTCCCCTTCATCTAGCAATCCATTTGTGTCCAGTGACTCTGAATTCCTTTGAAATTCCCCCTTGTTTAAAAGGGCAGTTTGGATCCCAGCTGACCCCTGACGCTTGCACTCTGTGGGGTTTAATGATTTAACTCTCCTGCCCGGAGCTGCCCAGGCCAATGGGAAACACTTCTGGGGTTCTTTACACGAGAGAATTCCTGAACATTTCCTGCTTGGTTTTCCACTACTCACTGAGCATTCCTGGTCCAGAATTTTAGAGGTATGGTAAAAAAGGGCAAATCAAATGACTAATTGCTGCAAAATTTACTTTAAACTTCGTTTGGTACAGATTGGGATTTTAATTTTGTCATATGCTTAGATAAACAGCTCTGCCTAATACGCCTTTTGGAATAAAACCTTTGCTGTTAAGCTTACCTGGAAAACATATTGTGGCATTTGTGAAGAAGACTCTGCCCTCTGCTAGTGATTGTCACTCAGTAAATGTGACATGAGTGACACTTTTGAGTGCCAGTTCCTTTTGCCAAAAAGGAACATTTGTACATGAATGGTGCTTGATAGACCTCAAAATTAAAATGAAGGAGCCTCTGTGGACTCCCCAGTTTCATGAGCAGCAGCTCCTGTTCTGCAGTGCCTGGTGTCCCACTGCAGTGGCTGTGCCATGTCCCCCTGTCCCCCCAGCTCCTGTTCTGCAGTGCCTGGTGTCCCTCTGGAGTGGCTGTGCCGTGTCCCCCTGTCCCCCTGTCCCCCCAGCTCCTGTTCTGCAGTGCCTGGTGTCCTGGTGTCCCTCTGCAGTGGCTGTGCCGTGTCCCTCTGTCCCCCAGGTGTGCTGGGTGACCACGGGGTGTCATTTTGGCCTCCCTCAGTGAGTTTGTGTGGTGTTCCCATGGCCAAATCGCTCCTGCCCCGTGCTTTGGTAGCTGCTGTTCGAAACCTTGCACGGAACCTTTTCCTGGGTTTTGTGGCTGCTTCTTTCGGAGCTGCTGCAGCACGTTTGTGCCCTGATAAAGGCTGTGACAGACACGCGTGAGGAGGGCAGCTCATGGCAGGGACTGCTCCCGTGTCTGGCTCAGACAATAAATGCATTTTGCAAATGATTCCTGCCTCCGGTTGCAAAAATGACGAGAGCTTTTCTACAGCAATGACCTATCGCTTGTTGAGGCTGAATTATTTATTATCGGATGGCACACGAGTCACGCCGGAGCGCTCACACTGCTGGAGGCAGCAGCTGGCAGCGCCGCAGTGCTCGGGAAGGGGATGGGACACTCGGAATGGCACCGCTGGGGCCTGGCCGTGCCCAGCGGGTCTCCCTGGCCGTGCCCATCGCGTCGCCCTGGCCGTGCCCAGCGGGTCGCCCTGGCCGTGCCCAGCGGGTCTCCCTGGCCGTGCCCATCGTGTCGCCACTGTCGCGACAGTCGCCGCTGTCGCCGCCGTCGCCCCGCGGGTGCAGCGGGAGCCGCCGCCGCCAGAGGGCGCCGTGCCCGCGCCGTGCCCGCGCTGTGTGACCGGAGCGACGTCCGTTAATGACACCATTAATTACACCATTAATTACACCATTAATTACACCGTTAATTCATTACAACAGCGGCCTTGGCTGCCCGGGACTGCCCAGGACATTAACTGCTCCCACAGCCTTAGCTGTGTTTGTAAAGGCTCTATCACACTGCTGTTACCGTGCTTTAAAATCACTCATCAAATCACAGAGTGGTGTGGGTGGGAAGGGACCTTAAAGCTCATCCCATCCCACCCCCTGCCACGGACACATTCCGCTCTCCCAGGCTGCTCCAAGCCCATCCAAGCTGGCCTTGGGCACTCCCAGGGATGCAGCGCTTCCAGGGATGGCACAACGTTTCCAGGGATGGTGCACAGCCATTTGATTTATTTGATTTGTCATAGACTTCTTGTTGCAATCATAAGATGAAGTTACCAACACTTTAGGAGAATGTAAACAATTATAAGGAACAATTTTTTGGGGGGGGAAATAGGAAACTTTTATCATAATTATATTATGAGATTAATTTAGGCTTTTTTGTCTCGGTGTTTTATGTGTCCATACACAAACAAGCCAAGCCCCTGTGAGTAAGACCCCAGAGAGTAAACAGACAGATGTGTACACATAAATGCAACAGAACTGTCCCTGTTTATTAACCAGATAGTGCTGGGGCAGTGGTCATAAGTAAAACTACAGAAGTACAAGCCAAGGAGACTTGAAAAGTAATTCAAATTTTCCATGCGTGCCACATTTGGAAATCCTGAATCCCTTGAGTTCAGCCACTGTCCCAGTTGTGTTGAAGTTTTAGAAGATACTCTTTGCTTCTGTTGGCAGGTCTCTTACCTTCCCTTCTGAGTTATAATACCAGGAGCTAAAAGCTCCAGCACAGCTAGATGCACAAAGAGGGGAAACAATCGTGTGCTTGGAGCTGGGGATGTGTATTTCCAGTTCAGTCTCACTATAACCCCCCTCAGAGGCTCGGAGCAAATGCTCTGGGCAGGGATGGTTTGCTGGCACATGCTCTGCAGTTTGGTGTGCTACAGATCAGGAGGCTGAGAGAGAATCCACTTCTATGCAGATCACTCCACATTATGAAGATGTAAAGTGAAAATTAAAAAAATACAAACTAGAGAAGGGTGGAGTGGGGCCATGGGGAAATGTTGGCATACATATTGCTTGCATTAGGAGCAGCAAGAATTATTGTCTCTGCAAGTTAGCCTGGTGCAAAGGATCACAGTAACAGGCCCAGCTACTGAGTTATTAGCTCTTGCTTTTATAAACAGAGTCCTGGCTCACAGCAGCCTTTCTAAAAGTCAGTTTAGTCTGGATCTTCCTGAGAAGGCTGGGCTGGGCTGCTCACAGGGTTGGCTGCCTGTGATCTGGTCCATTCAGAAAACAAACAAAAATTACTTTATCCAGGACTTAAACAATAAAGTTATGATTAATCTGCTGATGCCAGAATGCTGGTGATGCTGAAACACTAAATGTGCAATGTTGTTGCAATCACGGTGAATGCTTTGTTGTAAAATGATCTTTGTGTATCATTGGCTCATAGTGATGGATGTTGAGTGGCTGAATCAGGGAAGGGTTTTTGTGAAGCGTGCTGAGATCTTGCAGGAAACGTACTGACAATTTTTTTCATGTCCCTTTAGGTCTGAGACACATCAGAGTGTGTGTGTTTTATTTTTTCACTGTAAATATTATAATGGTGCCAGCAATGCACTATTTACTGCTTTTCATATGCGTGAGAATACTAAACATATGTATTTCTAAAGGGAATTCCAGAAGAATGTGAAACTAGCTTGTAGCAATAATTTGTAGGTTTGTGTCCATTGTTTTCAGGAATATGTAAATTGTTACATTATAGAACTCACTTTGAACCCTGCTGCATAATTAGCTGCACTAAACATCAGTATTCAATTTGGGAAATCTGTAGCCAAGTGTTTTATTAGAATTTCGTGGAAAAGGAGAATGTGAACAAAACCATAGAGCAAATGATCTGAAATGCAGTTAAAAATAATGAAAACCAAGCACCAGCCACATAAACACACCAGATGAAGACACAGCAAATGAAGATCATAAAAAGTGAAGTGGAATAAAAGCGCATAAAGCCATTCCTCAGCTGAAGTAAATGGGCACATCTGCAGCAGGAGTGAGGGAACCGTGGTCATTGGCATTTGCTGAGGGGCTGCTCTGTGAATTTTGTTAAAAGGCTCATGGTTAGGAGGAAATGCCATTAACAGTAATGGCTTTTTGGGCAACTGGTTGCACAGGGCTCCTGCAGAGATTTGGTGACAAATGTCCTCCTGCAAATCCAGCTGATTTCAGCTGGTCCCAGTGTGCTCCACCCTGCTGTGGGGCCAGGGATGTGCTGCAGTGCCAGCAGCGTCCTGAGCTGCAGGAGCTGCCGTGGCACCACCCTGTGCCCGGGGCTGGGGCACACAGCCACTGCTGCCAGCCTGGAAAGCCCCGGAGAGCAGCAGGACACTGCAGCTGCCTTTGCTGGGGAGGATGCTTCAAGCACCCAGTGGGTGTGACCATAACCCCCAAAATCCCCGGAAAATCAAGGCAGGAGTCAATAGGGTTACAGTGGCTGGAATGTCACGTACTCGCCCGTACAAATCCATGTCCTCACATCTCCTTGCTTTGTGTTCCAGGTGCCCCAGCTGTGACATCCGTGGTGTGCCATCACTGCCATCTGCAGTGCTCCAAGCCCCAGCCAGTTTGAAGCCCTGGTGTGAAACCCACTTGTGCTTGTGTCTCAGCACAGTTCTTCTGAACACAAATAAAACCCAGGGCTGTGGCAAGCACATTTCTCTGTGTGCACCTTTATGAAAAATCCTGAGAGAGAGAGAAACATGCTTGCCACACAGGGTGCTCCAAACGTGGGCTCAGGCAAGTCCATCTGCCCATCTGGTTTTGTGTCTTACTGCCCTCACTTTCATGTGTGTCAGCTCCTCATGCCTCTGCTCACAGTCGTGTTCAGCTGGGCAAGAGATCTTCCTCTGCCTCCTTCCAGACTTTCCTTTGAACATATGCACAGGAAAATACAAAGCCTGACCAGCTTCATAAAGGGCTGTGACAGAAAGCAGTAACCCTGCCCTGAGAGGTCCTTGCACAGGATCTCTGGTCAGCTGGAGCTTTGAGACCCTCACTTTGTGTTTCAGCCTCCTGCAGTGGGGTGGGTTTCAGGATGTGTGAGCTGGATGCTGCAGAGCGGGGCCCAAGGGAAGAAAACACCATTACTAATAAAGTTCTGCTAAGGGCATGGCCAAATTCCATGCAGTCAGCTCATTTTCCCTGTGGGGAGTGTCTGGCTGCCTGTGCTGTCAGTCACTGAGCATGGGGAAGTGCTGCTGGAAACCAGGGGACATGGAAGATGGATGAGGCACAGCAGAGGCCCAGGAGCTGTGCCCGGGCAGGGACACGTTTGTGTGGGCTGTTTGCAAAAGGCCCGGCCAGGCATTGTTCAGGAGAGAGGTGTGAGTGCGGGGTGCGACAAGAACAGGGAGATCCCAGCCTGCTTCCCACATTCACCTCCTTCTGCCGGGATTGTCTTCACCAGCAGCCTCACCTCCTTCTGCTGGGACTGCCTTCACCAGCAGCCTCACCTCCTTCTGCCCAGACTGCCTTCACCAGCAGCTTCACCTCCTTTGCCAGGATTGTCTTCACCAGCAGCTTCACCTCCTTCTGCTGGGATTGCCTTCACCAGCAGCCTCACCTCCTTCTGCCGGGACTGCCTTCACCAGCAGCTTCACCTCCTTCTGCCGGGACTGCCTTCACCAGCAGCTTCACCTCCTTCTGCCAGGACTGTCTTCACCAGCAGCCTCACCTCCTTCTGCCGGGATTGCCTTCACCAGCAGCCTCACCTCCTTTGCCAGGATTGTCTTCACCAGCAGCCTCCCCTCCTTTGCCAGGATTGCCTGGAAGGTGTCTGGGAAGCTGGCAGGAGGGAGATCGTGCCCAAGGAGCAGTACCTGCCCGCAGAAGCAAGG